GCGCCGAGGGGGACCCAGGTCATGGGAGGGAGGACATCTGTAATGAGAGCCTGCTGTGAGCCTCACTCCTGCTCCGCTGGGGGGCTGAGGACACTGTGGCCTACCGCACCATCCCTACGCCTCCGGCAACCCCTACAATTGCCTTTGCAACATTCATGGCCCTGGTGAGGGCTGTGCAGGGTTGGCCTTCTCACCAGGGGCAGAGCGTTGAGAGAATGTTTTCAACAGCCGCCTCCCAGACATGAGTGAGACGCGCGAGGGCCGGGCCAGATCCAGGCCCAGCAGCCAGGAGAAGGGTTCCTGAGAGAAGGTGGGGGTGTGTGTGGGGGGTGTCCTTCCTGCGGCCCATCCCTGACACGGAGGAATCAGGTCAAAGGCCCAAGCTCATCCTGCCAGCATCATCACTGTCCACAAAAGTCCCACTTCTAGGGGACAGCCACCCTGGGGGTCCAGAGTGAGGGCTGGGCCCGAGTCAGAAAAAGCTGGCCTGGCTAGAGACACCCTCCTGGCTGGGCACCCCTCGCTGAGCCCGAAAAGGAGAACCTGGAGGCAACCCAGCTGATACCAGCAAGAGGGCCGGGTGGGTAGCCGCCAAGGTGCAGGGCCAGAGCAGGACTCCGGGCTGGGCTCAGCTGACTGGTGCTGTTCAGCCTGAAGCCCAGGTGACCCTGAGGAGCCCCGCCCCTGGTTCTGCTGCCCCTGCAGTTCCACAGGCTCCAGGCTGAACCCGGAGCACAGCCTGGTTCTGGGAGGGTTCCGCCCTGAATTGAATGGAGCTGGGTCTCCCTGGGCTGGGTGGAGAAGACAGGGTGATCGTTGGACGTGCCCTACCTCTGCTCTGCCCTGGGTTGGCTGGGCATTGTCACTAGGGGTACTGGATATAAAAGGCCAGACCAAGGGGAGGGTGCTGGAAGTTAGGGGTCCAGCCCTGGTGCAGAAATCTCTGCTCCCACATGCCTATGGAGGCCCAGTCCTTGACATCTACTACCTGGACATTCAGCCACTTCCTTGGTATCCTGCCCCCATCTCAGCCCTTGACAGGCCTCAAAGATCTAACTCACTTCTGAGCAGCCTTACACTCCATTCACTCATGTCTTCACTGAGCACCTATGTGCCAGGGACTGTCCTGGCACTAGGAACATGGTCATGAGTAAAACAGGGAAGGCCTGGCCAGTGTGGCTCCGCTGGTTGGGTGTCATCCCTGCACCAAAGGGGTTGAGGGCTCCATCCCCAGTGCGAGTGTGCAGGAGGCAGCCCATCGATGTTTCCTTCCCGCATTGATGTTTCTCTCCCTCTCTCTAAAAAAAAATCAATTTTTTAAAATCTTAAAAAAATACCCCCCCCCCCCCCCCCCCCCCACACACACACACACATGGAAGGACGGAGCTGCCCCACGAGGTAGGGCAGGCTGCAGGGTGAGCAGGGTGAGGTGACGCTCCGTGTTGACAAGTTCAATTTGAGATGCTGTGTGAAAGGTGTCCAGGTGACGATGTCAAGTAGGCAGTCTGGCTGGAGACACTTCGGGAGTTGTTGGCATTTGGGAAGTCTTCACAGCCACGAGCCTGGGATCATCTGGAGAGCGAGTGGACAAGGGCCCAAGGACTCTCACAGTGAGAGCTGGGAAACAGACCAGCACAGGAGGCAGAGAAGCGAGTGAGAGAGCAAGGTGCCCAGAGGCCAGTGAAGGAGACAGCAGAGCAGAGCCAAGTGCTGCTGAGGCCAGGATGCAGCCCCGTGCCCTTCGCTCGGACCGCCTGACCACCCTCCTGCTCTCTCGCCCTCAGCACTTCAGGCCCCAGCCACGGAGGACAGCTCAGTGATTGTTTCCCACGAGGGGCCGGTTTCCTTGCTGTTTTCTCTTGGCATGCCTCTCCTGCTTGCCCTTCAGAATCCAGCTCAAGTGGCCCCTCTTTCAGGAATTATTCTGGCTGAGTTAGAGGCGTTCTCTGGGCCCCCATGGCCCCTTGGCTGTATTGGCTCAATGTCTGCTCCATCGGGCTGGGAGCTCCTCAAAGCCGGGAAATGAGTGTTCCCTTCGCCAGATCAGCCAGCACATGCTCAGTGAGTATTCACGGAGGAGTCGGCCTGCTCAGGTGTGGGGAAAGAGGTGGCCAATGGCTGCTCTATGAGTGTCCGTCAGCCAGCTGGGTGCTCCCTGAGGGCTGGGACCATGTCTCTATCGGCCTGAATCTATGACTCCCACAAGGTCTGGCACACAGTAGGTGCTCATAAAATGGGCTGAATTGTTGGACTGCCCCTAGAAGAGGTCTGTAGTGGGAAACCCCTGGTCCTGACCTTGAGTTCTATCAGGGCCCCAGCTGGGTATGAGGAGACCCATGGTGTGTGTGTGTGTGTGTGTATACGCATGTGTGTGC